ACATCACCTCCACACCTACTCTGGCCCACAGCCACAGTCCAGGAACCCACAGCTGCCATAACTCCCTCTGTCCCCTCCGATGTGGGTTCCCCCAAAAGGGGCATCATGGTGGTCAGGGGCCCTTCCTCCCCTGCCAGGCTTCCTGGGATAAAGAGGCTTGGGGTCCATCTGGAGCATGTGCCAGGCCCCTTCCTTGCTTCTTGGTTGAGTGCTTCCCTCCTAAGGCTGGGGACATGCAGGTGAGATGCCCAAGGGAGCAGGGAACCCCCAATGGCCACTGTCTTTATCTCCCTCCTCCTCCTCCTCCTCCTCCTCCTCTTTCTTGCCACCCCATGATTGGAGGGACCCTCTACTCTCCCCCAGGGATTCTGCTGGGCTGGTCACACACACTCCTTTGGGACTTGAGCATCCATGGATTTTGGTATCCATGTGGGGGTCTGGAATGTATCCCCCGTGGATACCAAGGTCCCACTGTATGTGGTCTCTAAAATGCACATCTGACAGCAGTTTGGCTCCTGCAGTTTACTCTAGCCACAGTTTCCAAACATTTTTCAAAGGAAGCTTCATGTAAAGTGTGTTACATCAGGAGGTAACTAGGGCATGCACTACTGTGGCTGGATCTGCCTTCCCCAAGAAAGAGTGTAGCAAAGGTGTTCCAGGCCACTGCAACAACCCGACTTTCCAAGAGCAGTGCTGGGTCAAGAGCACCCGTAAGCTATGAACTTGATCTTTCAGAAGGAGAGCAATCTCATCCAGAACAGACTGTGATCCAAATCCCATGCTGGTTTTCCTATTGACCCAGCAGCACTCGTTTCTTGTCTGGATTAAGCCTCAGTCTATTCATCCACATCCAGTTTTTTACTGCACCCAGACAACAATTTATTCAGTGCTACCACAGCCTTTTTGGCATGTTGACAGACAGCTGTGGACACATGTCTGAAAAAAGTACATATTTCAAATGCATGCAAAACACTGTAGGCAGTAATGGGAATACATTGAAACAATGCATACAATTTAAAACATGTCCAAAAATATCTTGTGTGAATTTGAAATAATATTACAAAGCAAAGTCTCTTTCTTTGGAAGTTTTTAAACAGAGGCTTGATGGCTATCTGTCATGGTGCTTTGATTGTGTATTCCTGCATGGCAAGGTTGCACTTGATGGCCCTTGAGGTCTCTTCCAACTCTACGATTCTAAATAAGAGATAGATCTTGCCCTATTTCTTTTTCTTTATACAGTGGGCCTTTGGTATCCTCTGTGGTTTGGTTCCAGGACTCCCTCTGGACACCAAAATCTGTGGATGTTCAAGTCCCATTAAATACAATGGCATAGGAAAACGGTGACCCTTATATAAAATGGCCAAATCCATGCTTGCTTTTGGTATTTATATATATCAGTATTTTCAAGCTGTGAATGGTTGAATCAATGGATAACAAACTGTGGATATGGAAGGCTAACCATATATGTAATTATATATGTTTTATTGTATTCTCTGCCTTTTTGTAAGCTGCCTTGAGTCCCAGCCTGGGAAAAAGTTGGAATACAAATGAACAGATGGATGGGTGGGTGGGTGGTCATAGTGTGTAGCCCCTACTTTTGAGTGAGAAATCTGTACTCTGGACAAGAGGCCACTGTCAGAACAGAATACGGAGAAACAGAATGGGTCCCAATCGGCAAAGGGGTCAGACAAAGCTGCATCTTATCACTCTATCTGTTCAATTTATATGCAGAACACATTGTAAGAAAAACAGGTTTGGACACAAGAGAAGGAGGAGTGAAAACAGGAGGAATGAATATCAACTATCAATCAATCAATCATTTTATTGCAGCCGTTTGGCCAGTATAATATCAACTATCTAAGATATGCAGACAACACCATAACACTAGCACAAAATCTCACAAACATGGAACAACAACTAAGGAATATCAAGAAAGAAAGTGCAAAGGTAGGCTTACTGTTGAACATAAAGAAAACAAAAATAATGACCACAGAGAATCTACACAAATTCAACCTAGACAAAGACAAATAGAATTAGTAAAAGAGTTCTCATACCTGGGATCAAACATGGATAGGAACGGGGACGCAGCCAGGAAATCAGAAGAAGATTAAGAATGGGGAGGGTGGCTATGACAGAAACAGGAAAGACCCTAAAATGCAAAGATATACAACTGAGCACAAAAGTTAGAATTATACAAGCCACTGTATTTCCTATTGCTATATATGGATATGAGAGCTGGAAATTAAGAAAGAAGACAGGAAGAAAATCAGTTCAATCAAGATGTGGTTCTGGAGAAGAATGCTGAGGTTCCATGGACAGCCAAAAAGACAAACAAATGGGTCCTAGGGCAGATCAAGCCAAAAATCTCTCTGGAAGCCAAGATGACAAAACTGAGGCTGTCGTATTTTGGACACATCATGAGAAGGCACAACTCATTGGAAAAAAAATAATAATGCTAGGAAAGGAAGAGGGAAGTAGAAAGAGAAGAAGGCTGCATGCTAGATGGATTGACTCTATTAAGGAGGTCACGGATATGAGTTTACAGGAACTAAGCAGAACGGTGGAGGACAGGGAGTCTTGCAGATGTCTCATCCACAGGATCACCATGGGTCAGGAGCTACTCGAGGGTGGTTAAGAACAAACAACAAAAGCCCCGACCATCATTCTGCTTCACTAAAATTCAAATACAGTCTAGCATTTGGAGGAG